ACTATCAGGACTAATATCGGGAGTCGATTGTATTGTGAATGCAGACAATTATTTATAACAGTCCATAGGGTTTGCCATTCCGTCCCCTAATTACCGTATATACTCTCATAAAAACACCGGTAATATTATGTGAAATCCAGTAAAAATGCGATTTTTCAAAACAGGGGTAATGTTACCTAGATAAGATTACCCCCCATTACTAAAACTCACATATTGTTACCGGTAACGCTATGTGAAATTCAATTGAAGGGTATTTATTCATTCAAATAGCAAATGATTTTATAAAATTCAAACAATATATTTAAGAAATATTCATAAGATATCTCTAAAAAATTAATTCCATTATTTAATATTGGATTTATGCGCTAAAAATGGTACTAAAAGACACTTTACGATTAGATGAAACCATCTAGCTCTAAAATTTAGGCCAACGGGCATATTTAGCGGGTATAATGGCCACAATTAGATTAAGAATTTGATTTAATAGTTTTATTTTGTGCGCCAGTATTGTGTAGATATTTTATTCAAATCTAATCAAATCTAACCTTACTCATAATTAGTAAACATAAATACAACTTTTATATATTAATACTCAAAAACATAGTTAGGAAATGGATACAATTTGGCGTTAATTAATTGTTAATGAGTCATTAATAACGAGTAAATTTATATTGTATTCGACTCATAAGCAATAAAGTACAATAGTATAGTATAAGTTTTTAGTAAGATGTAATCATGACCCTAAATATAGGGGTAATGCTACCTGGATAAGATTACCCCCCTTTGTTGGATTTCACATAATATTACCGGGTGTTTTTATGAGAGTAAATACGGTATGTGATTCTTAATCCAGTGATCAGTATTTCCAGACCTCTAGAAAGAGGATAAGCCTTATGTTTAAGTGAAAGGAAATGTTATTATTTATTATAATTACACATTTTGTCCACAAAATAACTCTTCGATGAGATTATTATTATTATAATTAAGAAATTGTCGCACATTTTAGCAAATATTATGCAATTAATTAATAAAACATATTTATTTAATAATTTGCCGTTAATTACTAGAAATGAAACTAATTTTTAACTTTTTTAACTAAATGTGAAACATATTATTCTGATTTTTAATTTGTATTAAACTTAATTGTGCGGTATCCATTTTAATCAACTTAGTTCTGATTAATAAAGACATTATTATTATTATTATTAATTGACTATTTATTAATCAGTGGATATTAATTACGATAATTAATAGGATATTTGAGTCGTTTTCGCATTTTATTCATACGATATAACTCTTGGGCTTCGATCTCCTCTTCGGTTTTGAAGCAATATTTATCAATATTTCGTTGAAATGCTTTCTGCCAACCGATGCCATCACTCATGTCATGGAGAATACGGAGCACAACACTAGAGTACAAGTCTTTCGAGCCGTTACTCCACAAACAGTACCGATCTATTGGTAGTCTTCTCATTGCAATCCTTTCATTCCGTGACTTAACTCGAGTCACATCTTTTCGAGTACTCGAGTATTCGTCGCCGAAACCTATTATATATGTTTTGTTTGACTCGTACTCCACATCTCTGTCCGCTTTGGGCGACAAATATACCAAATCTTTTCTGTCAAACAAATCTAAGTATGACTTTGGGGTAAATGCGGACAAAAAGTCCGGATAGTGTGCCACCAATTGGTTGTCTTGAACCGCATCCCAAACCATACTTTTATAGTCAATGTTTGCAAAATGCAAATTAAATGGTTGAGACAATGAGTACCGATTTGTCTGATAGGCGTTCACTAATTGTCCCAATTTCTTGGCGCAATTCGTTTGACTCATCTGTGGATCACAACTCAAATCAAACACAATATTTTGGCCAAAAAGGGCTGCGCTTCGCAACCGATGGACAGAATATCGGCGTATATTTGCCGTCGATATTCTGGCGAAGAGACTGTTGCGCCACAAACCTAGCCATCGATGCAAATAAAGACAATACAAGAGATTAATACATAACAATCGACAACACATGCCGTCTATTCATACCGTAAGCAATGTCTCCGTTATCATCGAAAATACCGGTCCGTTTGTCCTTCAAATGGATCCACTTATCACTCAATTCCTTCTCTTTCAACGCCTTGTTAATGGCTCTCAATCTCTTTGAGTGAATCGATCGGATCTCCTTCAGGTACAGAGAGTTCATATACCTGTTCCGTTGGGCGCCGCTCTTCAGACCCATCAGTTGTTTCATATTATTGAGTGTCAAACTAGAGGGCACTTCTTGTGTCTTATACTTCGCGTATTCATACGAAGACAATATCATTTCGATGTCATTCACCTGATCCGCGGTTTTGGCCAAACATTCAAACTGTTTGACCGACAGATCGGCGAAATGTCTCTCAACGTCGAGGGCATTGTCTTCGACCACCTCTTGGTTGTGATCATTCGTTTGTGACCACAACTGACGTCCGGTTGAGAACCAATGTCTTGAGATGTGATTAGACAATATTGTAGTCAACCAATGAGTGTTTGTTGGTTAGAATTCGGCCTTTATGCCCCAAGATTAGACTGACCATCTTTTTTATTTTGACCTGGATTATATAATACATATAAAACTATATATAAATCTATAGAATATATACATATTGTTAGACACTTTCCTCCTTTTTCGAATATGTTCTGAAAATATATTTTTTAAAGAAAACATATTTTATCTTTCTGAAAACAGGCAAAATAATACAAAATATGGTCAATCGATGGCCAATGGTATAAATAAATATTTTTTACTAACTAAATACATATATCTCAATATAGTTAAACATATTAGTTAAAAAAAATTTTGATAAAATAATTAATCAATTTAATTAAATTAATTTGTAAGTTATTTGTTTGAAAAAACTTTTCAAAGGGCCCCAAACAATAGACTACTGTTATATGAGAGACATTAACACATAAGTGTTGTATATACTGCATTAAAATAGTTAATGCCCATTTATACTTTTGCCACTGCTCATCAAATGATTACTGTACACATCACAATTTGAACAGAAATTACTACATTTAATTATTTTGTTATAAATTTATTTTGTAAGAATAAGTATAGTTTTATAAGCACTATATAATGTCCAGATCAAAACAAAAAACTGGCCAGTCTAATCTTGGGGCATAAAGGCCGAATTCTAACCTGTTTGTTTTCATTGGTTTACCACTAATTAGTCTCGCATTTAATGGCAAACTCTTCGCCAATTGTCTCAACCAAAGCATTGATAACACTATTAATTGTGACACAAATTATTTGATTAATGATTTGTGTTTTGATTGCGATTTAAATGTTTCACAAAACATATCAACACATGTTTTGAACACGTTTTGAGTACGGTTGAAAAAATTCCCGGAATGTAATATATATTCCCAATTGGGAATATTCCCAGTGGGAATATTCCCGGAACGTTACCACCCAAAAAGCTCAATCACCAGATGGCGTAAGTAGTAAAACGTGGCGACCCCCAATTTTACCCCCCATTTCGCCCCCAATTCGCCCCCAACTTTTCCAGGGAATTTTCCCAGCAATAAATATTCCCAATTTTCCCAGGGAATATTCCAAGGAATATTCCTTTGGGAACAATTCCTAATAGGAATTTTCAACCCTAGTTTTAAGTGATGTAATAAACAATATTTATTACACATTTTATTGCTTGTGTAAACAGTGTTAACTGTATATACGATTATACTGTCAGATAATACACTCTTTTAAATGTATTGTATTTAATGAGTTGACACCGAAGTTATGGTACGTTTATATAGCGAACAATACGCGTAACAAACACTACAAACAAATGTATAGTTTGGGTCCAAAACAGTGAATACTCCGCCCATTCATTGCGTTGAAAGTTCAGTCTCTATTCAGACATCAAAAAACAAAAACCAATTATAAGTGTTTCACAAGTAATGTATGAGTCGTTTATTACCAAAGAGTTGTCTTTACATATTTTACATATCTTCAGCGGTAAGAGATATCGAGTTCTAGTTTAAAGATCTATCCGAATCATATAATAAGGAGTATTTTGAGACTTATTTGTTATCACATAAATACATATAATTACATATTTTGATTGTTAGCACATATTTTCACATATTGTAGAAAAATCGACGAAATATGTGAAAATTGTATGATATTGTCAAGAATTTTACAAAAACAATTGATGCAAAATTGATATTTGTGGTAAAAATTGTAATAATTAATTTTTTTTAAGAGTTGGAGAATATTTATCAATAAAAATATTATTCTTAGTTCAAATAGACAAATGTCGGGAAAAGGCAAAATTTTTACAGAAAATATTTATAAGTAAATCTGAATATTCCTATTGAGTATTATCAGAAATACCATGTAGATCATGGCATATTTGCTATGATCTATTATAATTGGTGTAAAAACAATATTTTCAATGTTTTAAGAGCATAAACCGAAAATTTTCGTGATTTTATTACCACATATAATTACATATTTCTCGATTATTGTCACATATTTCTGAACTTATTACCACATATTATATTACATATTTTGGAGATTATTACCACATATAAGCAATGCTTTATTTATTACCATATATGGTATACTCATAAGTGGGTAATTTTATCGTGTGCTTTCCAATGATTGACTCATGGTTAACTTTTAGTGTGGCCATTAAATGTCCCTGATATAATAAATGTTAATTAGTAGTTTTAAGGGCACATTAATAAATTATATTTTACATTATCAAAACTTATTACAAACATATTTATTTAAGTTTACAATATTTTAAACAACAATTTTAATTGTACTTTTGAAATATTCATTAAATCTAACGATAAATTATAAAATATATCCATTTCATAGACACAACAATTAGAAATCACTTTAATCATTTATACTGTATATTATTTAGGTAATAATATTGTTTAGTCTTAATTTTATTTATTATGGTGAATAAACATTCATTTATTTATTTATTGAATAAAATAAATTTTATGTACATTCAGTAGAATATTTGCCATGAATACATTGTCTCTCAATATGTATCATGGTAATTTTGGGACAGTTATTGAGCGCATTCATTAGGGCTGTTTGGGTATAATCTTCGCAACCATAGAGTCTAATGGTCTGAATTTTGGCCAATTGTGACAATGAATTCAATAAACTGTCCGTAATTTGCGGGCATTTAATGACCAAACACTGGAGTCGCGGGAAATTGCGGCCAATATTGTCGAAAAACATTTCATTAATATATAGTCCGAGCGATAAATGCGTTAAACATTTGCATTCAATCATCAAATCACTCGTCACTACAATTGTATTGCGATTTCTGATAAAATGAAAGCGTTTTAAATGTTTAAAATATGTGCCAATTGTTTGCGTTAAACGCGAAAACTTTTGCTGACTTTCAATATAGCCGTCAAGTGATAGGCGTTTAATCGCCGGACAATTACTCCCGATTTGGGGTAAATAAGTGGTAATCAATGTCGCGAATGCTTTACGATTATCGTAGGTATTGATCAGTAAATCAATTAATTCCGACATTTGCGACAAACCTGTCATCAAAGCGACGATTGACTGGTCATCGCATTTACCATCGATGCGGACATCAATCACTTTCAAACGGTTCCCGTAGTGGTCGACAACTCCCTTAATATTAGCCATTTGTCCGCTGGTGTAGTAAAAAGAAATTTCCCGTAACTTCCGAAACAATGTTACCCTACGTTTGCCATTACATAATAGCCGTAATGTATTTACTCGTGTATTACAGCCGTAGTCAATACGTACGACATTTTTACAAGTTTTCAAGTATTTTTCTAAACACTCGTCAGTCATATGAATAGCAATTGTTTTCAATTGTTTGGCAAACTTTGCAAAAAACTTGCCAATAGTTTCGCCATTAATGTGGCGACAGTTGTATACGTGAACGGCGTCTAAACGATCGCAATGTTTTGTCAGCGATTCAAACATTGTGTTATTCAAATGGGTTGAAATTCCCATACATTTAACATGAGTTACGTGTCGACACTTATTCAGTATGGATTCAAACGTATTGGCATTCATGATGTCTTCGAGCCGGAAATCACCTTGATCATTATCGCGGCAATACCTGTACAAAATATTATGATCTAGGTCTTTTTGAGATGTAAATAATAATTGTTGTATACGTTTGGACACACATTCATATCTGAATCGGTCTTTGAGTGACAGATAAGACAACAAGTATTGACACAAATCATCGCCGAATCTGTCCATTGAATCCCTGGCATAGACTTGTAATGAAGGCGTCACTGAATCGCTTCCAGTAGTGATTCTTACGGTTCTTCGGGACAAAAATCTCCAGCAATTAATTTGAGACATATTTGAGATATAGTCTAAAGATTTTCTATGTTTTTAACTTAATTACTTTTAATTACGATTAAACAGTTTGTAATTTAATTACAAGTAATGTTTGTGTTTATATATAATTTTATGTTATATTTATAACGATAATTAATCTGTGAGTAATTGATTGTGTTATCAATTTAATCACTTTCTAAACAGTGCTTATATTTATTACTAGTTTGTATTGACGTCAAAAAAACATTATTAAATAAACTGCTTAATTATTATATTTTTCAAGTGGAATATTGCTTTATGGTTATAAATATATATTGCCTTGTTTACTAAATTTACTAAATGTCAAAAATATAGATAATAAAATTAATATGGTTGTAAAGCTAGGATCTGTTTAATGATGATAAGCATAATTTTATTATTTTTCATTAAATAAATTTTTAACTTTATAAAATTTTGCAGAGTTATTAACCTATTTTACAAAAGTTCCAGTATTTTAATTATCAATAAAAAAGTGAAAATTAATTTAATACAGTATAAATATATTTAAAAATTTTAGAATGTTAAATACTAAAACCTATTTGTCTGTTGTTACATTGTTACATGGTTTGTTGCTACATACAAATAAAATTTAATTGTATTTCTATTATTACCATTATTACTATTATTTATTTAATAAAATTAATTTTCCATTCAAACAATACTTTTTCATAAAAGTAAAAAAATGTTTAATGTTAAAGAATAAATAGTTTTATAATAATATTACATTAAATTCAATACAATGAACATTTATTTAATGTCAGGTGACTTAAAAAACATTAGTTATATAAATCACACAATGGCTAAGATAGTAATATTTATATAAAGAAACCTTGTCAATTAATTTTTATTAAGTAATGTTTTTATAATAAATTATTATAATTATTTTCAAATAGACATTTATCTTGTAATCCATTACCTATATTAAAATAATAAGCTATAATCATTTAATTAATTTAACGTGATTATTATAATGAATATAACAATTTGTGGGGCAAATGTGAGTATAACAATTATTATAACTTGTATAAAGTATACAGTAATAAATATTTATTTATAAATTAAATCAATAATAGTGGGATCCGTTCACATCATTCATCAAAATTAATACAACACTAGTATTAAAGGGAATATTCCGGCAATTGTTTGATATAATTGCTAAGCGCTTAAGCGTTCAAAAGTAAAATATTATAATTAACTAATCGATTATTATAAAAAATTTGTAACTAAATTCAACATTTAAATGCTAATTATAACCATGTTTTTTATCCAAAAAACAGTTACACATTTCAAACACCGACAGATACGGCAAACTTTGGCACAAAACTGGACAACGGATCGTGGGATGGATTGCTTGGATTAGTTGCCAATAATGTAATTTAAATACTGTGCATTTACGTGTACATAACTAATTAATAAAAAGCATTATGTTTTGCATTGGAAATCCCAAAAGAATTGCCACATATCCATAACACCCCTGGAAATAACAGATGAACGCCGGAAAAGTATGATATTCTCGTCGGTAGTGATGTACGAGCCGTACGTTATACTGACCAACACTGACCGCAATGGCCGACCGCAGGTCACCGGCTATATCGGGTGCGTTGAGCGCCGGGTTTGGCTACTATTACTAATCACACAATTGGTGTTAATTATTATAACCATAATTTACGCCAGAATTAACAAAAATGTTACAAATCGGTACACAATAGGAGAATATTTAATGCAACTGTTAGGAATATTTTTCAAACAATGTAATTTCATTAGTAAATTGTATATAAATTTTCCTATAGTGTATTTCTCACAACTCCTTCCCTCCCATTAGCCCATACGGGCGCCCATTTGAAGGGCGTTTTATGTATAGTTTTGGTTTGCGTAACACTATTGACAATATGTTTCAATTCGTTCATTGACTCCAAACTGGTTGTTGTCGACGATTACTATGCGATCAATACATTGGATCAGTTGGCCAGCAATGGACACGTCATTCCCAGCTATTATTTTGGGACTCCCATAGAAGAGTATCTGAGGGTATGTTGCAAAGTGAGAATATACTTGTAATCTCTCTCTCTCTCTCTCTCTCTCTCTCTCCTCTGCATCGGTATGTATTGAAAAGACAAATGAACAGCAAATGAATGGTAAGAACACAATAATGAAGATAAAAAATAGTCAACGCTTTTTGCTTTTCATGTGTATAACAAAAAACTTTTATTTCGCGATACGTTTTAATGACTTTTAGGTTTTAGTTGGCAATCATTGTGATTGAGATAACAAATACATTGAAAAAACATAGCAATGAGAGAGAGAGAGAGAGAGAGAGAGATCTGGAGGCAAATCGATTGGGGTATTAAAGGAGAGGACACTATAATCACTAAGACTTCTTGTAATACATTATCAGATGGTATTGTATTGTAGTGTTAGGTATGGTATGGTTTAGTTGTCGGGGGTTTGGGGTCTAAGCCAACAAACAAAATACAGCACACATTCATATTGTATGTGCGAATTGGGAATACTATTAGAAATTGGAAATCAAGACAACAAAACTTTTTTCTCTGTTGTTTTGTTTCTGGGATTTAGTCTTTTTATTGTTATCTAGATTTGTTTTGAGACAAACGTATGGTTAGTCTCTCTCTCTCTCTCTCTCTCTCTCAATAATTGAGTTGTAATTAGCGATTGAAATGGTTTGGGAACCGAGGGATTGGAATAGTGTCCTCTCCTTTAATACCCCAATCGATTTGCCTCCAGATCTCTCTCTCTCTCTCTCTCAATAATTGAGTTGTAATTAGCGATTGAAATGGTTTGGGAACCGAGGGATTGGTTAGGGATGGGGAGTGACTGGTAGGACATGGAGTACTACTTTGTGATTATCTCCTCAACGGATACTAATGTCACCGGAAAAAAACACAAATATCAAGAAAATTGGTTTTCATATAAAAAATTACTTTAATTAAAACTACACTAGAATTTGACTATAAATTCAATTAAGAAATCCTTGAAAATTTTGTAATAAAATTAAAACAATAATTAATTAATAATATTCTACTTATAAGTCACCAAAACAGGAAGTATATTAACAAAAACAACAATAATAATAACCATGTTTATTGAGGTTATAAATATCATACATAATATATCATAATATGATACACATTTCAGACCATAATGTGTTTATCATAATTAAACTTAATGTGCAAACAATACCACGAAAAAACATTGTGGTAAACACACGCTATTAATCTGTCATAGATGATGGTGTGATGAGCGCTGGTATGCCATACCTGTGCTCAACACATATACCATAATAGTATATTTCGCACACATTTAATAACAAACACATCAATTAAGTTATGAAAAGCATATTTTACGTTTATATCAAAAATAATATTATATAATATTTATGTCACTATATTATTAAAACTATGTAATATATTATTTTATATAAAGGTAAGACTAGTGCCATAACACATCTATCACACAATTAATACACACAAAAAAGTTATATAAATACTTATGGGATGAATAAAGAAAAATATGAATTAATTCATAACAATATAACAATGAGTAAAACCATGTAAAATCTAAAAGTCAAAAACATGCCTGATATAATGAATATATTTTGTGCCATATATGTTTTGATAGACCTGTATGCTTTTAAATCCTATGAATTATTACTTTTTTGGTTTGGCATTCAATTGTTTAATGCATAACAAAATATATTTAGATTATTTTCTATCTAGTTTAAAAGGTATTTTAAGCCTAAATAGTTGTTTCATTAATAGTTTGTGTTTTTTCTGTGGGTTTGAGTTTTAAATCTCTGTTTGATTGAAAGCTATTACTTAAAGCGTCAAAACATTTAGATTTAAATTTTTTAAAGTTAAAAATAAAATTGATTTTTTGTTTGCTGTCTCTTATTTAACACATAAATATAATCTACAAAATGTAAAAACAACACAAAAATGCTATAAAACTGTGTTTTGAGTACAAATACTCTCGTATTTTCATTCATAAAAACCATATCTCATATGCCATTCGTATGGAAATGATTTTTCGCCAGAATTGCAAATACAGTAATAATTATTATAATCGTAATAAAGACATGATTTATACGTTATGTACGCTATTATCGCTCAAATTAAACCCAACATCTCGTCCATCAATAGTGAAAAAATATATTTTTAAAACAATTTTTAACATAAAATTAAAACCCAAACCCAGAATATGCAATGAAAATTGTGATTTGCCATAAAGTTAACGTACATTTTCATAATGTATTTTTTCGCGGAGCCTTAAAAGTTATATCTCCGGCAGAAAAAAGTGAAATAAAATTTTATTTTTATTTCTTTGAGTCGTTTTTATATACGATTTATACATAAACGCAGAGATAGACTAAAAGGGCGATCAGTTTGTATGGTATATACTGTATAGGGAGACAGGACTGTGAGAGAGAGAGAGAGAGAGAGACATATACAAAACACTATCCCATAATAAATGTCTAATACTTATACGTTTAATCACTTGAGATGATTGCGACGGACAGAGAGAGAGAGAGAGAGAGAGAGAGAGAGAGAGAAACGAGTGATAGACAGAGAGTGAGGGTAAGAGTGAGTGAAAGCATTGGTTTAGTGTGGGAAAGGCTAGAGTGAGTGAGAGAGAGAGAGAGAGAGAGAGAGAGAGAGAGAGAGCACTGGTATTGCATTTAAAGGACCTGATTATTAGGCGTTGTATAAGTGGTTAACTACTGATGGGATATATTATACATACGATTGGTTTTTCTCAATGTGTTTGCAATAGTGAAGGGCCGGACAGTGGGGTTAAGGGATCTCTTAGATAAGGTCTTAGACTATTTTTTGTGTGCTTAGCCTTTCTGGAGACCATTTCCACCCATAAGATAATGCTATGGATAAGAGAGAGAGAGAGAGAGAGAGCTTTTCATTGCATTTCTCTGTATATTTATGCGACTCTCGTATATCTGATTGAGATTTTAGATACTATACCAAAGAGGAAAGGGAGAGCTCGTAAAGGGCACCCAAACCATGTTGTCGTGTACTAACCTATTGAACAATATCTGCAAAACAAGACATAAGGCTCGGTTACGGACTAATTATTTACCATATTAAATATGATAATATTTCTTATAAAATTTGATTTTTAAACACTATCTTAAAGTTATTTTCAATTGATGTAAAAATATATCGTGAAATTGCTTGGAGAGAGAGAGAGAGAGAGAGAGAGAGAGAGAGATTAACCAAAAAATAAATTGTTATACATAATAATCGGTAGTTCTTTGAATGTATTATAAATAACTAAACAATTTATCTAAAGAGAGATTCAATTGATTTGGTATTGAAAAAACTATTCAAACAATTCTCTCTCTCTCTCTCTCTCTCTCTCTCTCTCTCTCCAAGCAATTTCACGATATATTTTTACATCAATTGAAAATAACTTTAAGATAGAATTTACTCAAATGTTTGGTTGAGGCATAGCTGAAATTTTTTAACACTGTCACTAACCGCTGATTTTAGCCAAAAGTTTTAAACTCACTACGAGATTATTCTCTCAAGAATGCCGATTAATTGTTAAAGTATCTAGCGTGATTTAAAACTATTGTTTATTTAATACTTCAATAATAATACGGCAATAAATTATTTCGCATTTTGCATTTTTGTTTCGTTGTTTAATTTTATCAATTTTTCTTCTATTATATAATACACGTGTTAATCAATAACTAGATTTGTAAATCAAATCAAACTTTAATCGAAAATTCGTATTTAATTATAAAGTTTTGCCAAAAATTTAAAATTACATCAAAATATGGTAATAATTTTGAGTTTAAGAGAAAGATAACAAAACTAAGTAACAAAATAAAATCCAAATTACAGATTAATGTGTTTTTGAGAAGTCTTTTCAAATAATGAATTATTATTTGGCTATTCTTGTAGTGGTTTCAGCTTTGGATCAGTTCTTTGCGTTATTTTGATAGTCCTTTGCTTTTGATTGTTGTCTACCATTGAATCGATAGGCAATGAAAGCGACAATAATTGTCGACACAATCAGAATCAACACAAGTATTGCCATAATATATGACAATACGGTTGATGTTTGCCATTCATTGGAAAGAATTACCGTAGTTTTAGTTTTAGTCTTATGTGGACAATAGATACCAGAATATAGTGTCCTATTCTATAACGCAATTACAATATTAATTAGAGAGAGAGAGAGAGAGAGAGAGAGAGAGAGAAAGAGAGAGATTTGTGAGCTATGAATTCAAATAACATTTTATTTTGTAGTTTTTCATTGAAAAAACTGTTGTTTTTGTTGTCTTCATATATTCTTCTGGTGTTGTTTTGTTTGACTATTTTTTTGATCGCAAAGATTTGGCTCATGTTTTGCGTGACTATTGACTGACAATTGTTTTTTCATTGTATAGTTTAATTGATTGCCAAACAATATCAATGATATATCTATACAAAAACACACATATCTTGTTAACACATAATTAGTTTATTCTGTATTTTGACAATACATGTGCTAAACATGATTGACAAGTAAATTGTGATTGAAATTTGTATGTTTTATATAACAATGTCATTGTATAAAATATGGTTAATTTATTTGTAAATTCAATTTATATATTACTGTAAGAATTAATTTTACTGCAAATTATTTATTAATTCAATACACCCTTTGAGTTAATAAATTAATCTTTAGTTTTTTCAACATTAGTACAAACTTTAATTTAAATACAAAAATAATTATTTGTTTATAACGGAACTAAAATTATTTATACAGAATATTATACGACATTATAAATTATAATACATAACAGTAAACACGTGTCTGAATATGTATTAAACATATTTATAAATTATAATTTAATTAAATGTTAATTAAATGCTATAAATCCGCATAATATACGGCACATACATATCATGAATAAAAGGGTTATATATAATTTATATTATTTAAAAATTCAATTTATTTGTTAATATTTTTTCTGTTAAATACAAAGATATAAATTAATACAACAAAAACACATACAGACAGGTATATAGTGCTCCTCCCGGACCCCCCTTACAATCGGCTCCCAATGTGTTGTGTTTGCAAAATGATAGCACCGGTCGCTGATATCATTATCCGGTCGCTGACATTGAACTTCATAGCTCTCTCTCTCTCTCTCTCTCTCTCTTTCTCTCTCTCTCTCTCTCTCTCTCNTTTTTTCAATGAAAAACTACAAAATAAAATGTTATTTGAATTCATAGCTCACAAATCTCTCTCTCTCTCTCTCTCTCTCTCTCTCTCTCTCTCGCAAAAAAGGTTTAGCCCTTATATATGTTTTGAGATTTGTTATATACTGTACAATACATACAAAATATGTTCTTATATAAAACAAATATGTATTGTATTTCATATTAAATATATTTTTACTTCACTTTTAATTCTCTCTCTTATTGTTTATGTGAATTGATTCTGAGAGAGAGAGAGAGACTATTAACAGGTGTATTGAGACGATTGAGACTAAATTATTAAAACAACTTTTCCTTTTCATTGCCTTCAATGCAAATACAAAAAATAATATTAAAACAATTCATTCATTTATTATCAAACAAATAATTTTAAAATACTTATTACCCAAACATAATAAACGGTAATTCAATTCACAATCGACGGCACAAACAGTGGACTAATATCTTAAACAACAAAAACAATACTAAATATGTATAATTATGTATTTGTTTTAGTTTTTGTACAAATATTTTTCGCTTTAAATTACTTATAGTATAATAAATATAAGTAAATATAAAGTAATGTATTTTAGGAGCCGTTGGGAATGGCTTATGAATTAAATGGTATGGATTGTAATGGGTTTGACAGGTTTGGTATGCGGACTGGGATTACCATGTTTTGTATGTGTGTTTACTATGCGATAGTGTTTTGAAATTATTTTGTAATAAAAAATTGTAAATTATTTTATTTCATTGCATATTATTTTTTATAGCTTATTGTGTTTGTAATAAGTATTATAATATCTTTTTTAATATTATCATTTAAATCCCTTCTCTCTCTCTCTCTCTCTCTCTCTCTCTCTCGTGTTTTAAATTTACAAAACATTAAACACAGAGATTGTAATAATTTTATAAGAATTTAATTTTTTGTCAAAAATATACAATTATTTATGGATTTAAAAAATGTTTTATTATTTTGTGAATAAAACAATAATCAGGAAATATTTACAAACAATACGTTATTATAAAAATCACAAACAATTCAAGTGACTGTCCTTTGAATGAAAATACTATTTATTATATGAATTCGTATATAATTTATATTTTAGTTTTCATTATTATTTTGTCGTTTATATCATATTTGAATTTATTGATAATTTTCAAGTGAATCTCCTTTTCATAGCCTCTCTCTCTCTCTCTCTCTCTCTCTCTCTCTCTCTCTCTCAAGAAAATACAGGAAACAAAAATCTATTGAAATTTTTGAAAAATAATTTTTAATATTAAATCACAAGAAAAAAGTGAGAGAAAATAAAAGTATGAATTGTTTTCCTATCAATCATTCAATTTTACGATTCATTTCTCGTTTGTATTGTCAACAGAAAAATATATAATAAAATCAAGTCTTGTTTTAAAAAACAAAAACAATTTGTCAAAACATATAAAGACATTATTATTAGGTTTTGAATTGTGAAAACATGGGTAAAAATTGTTGATTAAATTGTTCCCGATGTCCGATGTTTTGTATATTTTTTGCTTAAATTATAATATATTTTTGGACAAAATCTATAAAAATATGTGAACTAAAATGTGTTCACAAATACAGTAATAATACTGTAATATCATAGGAAAAAGTCTCACATTTAATACCGATATTTTTATTAGATTTTCGTAGAAATACTAAAATATTTATGTTTTTTGTAGACATTTACACAATTTTCTTGAGAAATATCTATATTTTTCACTAAAAATATCCACTTTTATATCAAATGATATTTCATTCGTTGGGAAATATAACTGGAAATGAGATTTAATTATTAAAATACTGTATTGTTTTTTATTGCCGTAAATTTTATCACGGATTTTATTGTAGCCGAAAGTTAAACACACAAAATGAAAAGTGATATAAAATCTCATTTTTATTTTATAACTCGCTCTCTCTCTCTCTCTCTCTCTCTCTCTCAACAAAAGTAATAGAAATGAATAAATAATAAGCATTATATAACATCGGGGTATCGCACGGGTAGGGTATGGCACACAATAAAATTACATGGAGTAGAGAGAGAGAGAGAGAGAGAGAGAGAGAGAGAGAGAGAGATTTTAATATGATTGCAGACATACTATTGTTATAATGTCTAAAAATGTGATAACAGGTGAAGAATGTGTTAGAGATGTTTCAAGGATTTAAGCCCTCATCTGATTTATATCAATGTGTATCTGATTTCGTGGAGTGACTGTAGTATTAGGAGAGAGAGAGAGAGAGAGAGAGAGAGAGAGAGCTCCAGATGTGACACGACTACTGATCTGGAGATATATACAGCCGTTTCGCAGATAATATGTGAAATCAAATAAAAACTTTTATATCATATATAAATTCAGACACCGCTTGGACTTCAATTTATTAGTTTTTTGGGTTTTATATTAAATATATTTATTATAAAAACTTTGTCAAACAATGTTTATTAATTCATTATTTAATTAAAAATTTTGCAATTTAAAAATTGCTCATACTAGTTTTAATTATTGTATATACGTATATAATACAATTGTTACGTAACATATACTCAATATGAATGTATATTAGCATTCATTATAACGAGTGTACACTTAAAGCAAACAATGTTTGATTGAATATACAATAGACTATGTTTGAGAGGAAAAGTAAATTTATTTCACATTTTTGTGATGGGTTTCAAAATTGGACAACAGATGCGGGCCTTACATAGAGATAGCTTATTGTTGCCTTTGCTCATCCACAGCATCTCTCTCTCTCTCTCTCTCTCTCTCTCTCTCTCTCTCCCCGACCAATTGTTTGTCCTCTCAATACTCTCGCAAATTGTGAACCCATTGTAGAGCACATACTGTAAGCTGAAGTCATTGACTGATAATATCGTATAGTTTTATTGTGCATAATATGGACGTACAGTACAACACAACCGACCCATACATACAAAGTAGGCATAAATATCTGCGACAATGTGTACTGATTGTGAGCACCGATACATTTAAATTGACTTTTACTACACATACTCTCTCTCTCTCTCTCTCTCTCTCTCTCTCTCTCTCTCTCCTAATACTACAGTCACTCCACGAAATCAGATACACATTGATATAAATCAGATGAGGGCTTAAATCCGTGTATCACTTGTAATATATTAATATTGTGCCACTATTTCTATGAACACAACTCCTACATAAGTTATGACCCGTAATATACACCCGAAAATTAATAACTATGCTATGCAAATATCAAGCAATTACTCTGGTCAATATTTGACACGCTCAAACTCATTTACCCTGATGTTTAAATTTCCCAATTGTCTCGTTTCGCAGGTCGTGTCTAATCTAATGGAGATTATCTCGACATCTGATCTGACCATTAGATTGTGTCTCTCGTGTGTATAATATATTTTAATGGGGATTAAAATGTGTATATATTTTAAAATCATGGACCCCCTCAACACACCCCCTCCCCAACCCCTCAAACAAGTACACAGTATGTTTAATATGCAGTAATATTCATGGGATATATCAATATATTCAGTGTAAAGCAAACTATAGACACCCTTCCCATCCCGAGTCCAGGCCATGGACTGAGCGTTTGATAAGAGAAATGAAATTAATTTATTTAAATTATACGACACGACAGAGAAATATATATTTATATATGAAAACTAAAATAATAAATAATATTTAATTCGCATATAAAATGTTTAAGAAATGCATTACATAATAAAGATTAATGAATATTGGGATTGATAAAAAAGGCACTGGCTAACAACATAAACTTATATTCATGTTT